GGGGTCTTTTTGCACTGAGATCATTTTATTCATTCTGTGCTGTGATTGCTCGCCTTGTCGTTCTTCCCAGCTTCTCCAATACTTCATGCCCACGCCGGGACCCCAGATCTTCTCGCGGCAGATCTCACATGTTTGTCCGCGGGGCCGCCAGCCGCGTTGTCGGAGGCGGGTGACTTCATCGACATGCACGAAGAGGTCGCGGTCGAGCATGCCATTTGCCAATGACAGTAGAGATCTCTCGTATGTGTATGCGGAGAAGATAGAGGAGAGGACGGTGCGGAGTTCGAGGAGGGAGGGAGACCAGGTTGCAGCGCGGGTGAGGAAGGAGCGCAGGATGCGGAGGAAGGAGATGTCGTTTCGTTGACTGCCGAGGGGAGTAACAGAACTGGGGTTTTTAGGAGTAGTAGGTGTTGTTGGCATTGATGGGGAAATCGATGCAGGGGAGGGGGACGAGGAGCCGCCTTTGACAGTGTTGGAGAGGAGTGTGGTGAATATTTGTTGGACGAGGGTGCGGAATGATGAGATTAGCTGTGCGGCGTTGCTTCCGTATTGTGAGGATGTTGGGGCTTGCTGGGCTTTGGTGTTGGCTAGGTCTTCTTTTGAGAGCAAGGTGAACACGTTGCTCGCGATCCGAACTATGGCCTCGATCAAGTCAAGCCAGAGACCCTCGTCGAATGATAAAGGCTGATCTAGCTCGGTTATGCTCCGTGTACCATTGATTGGGCCTCCGCCCAACTGCCTGGCCATCTTGGACTGTCCCTGACACAGCCAGGTACCTACACGGGCATACTTGTTCAACGACTCGACCAGGTCACCGATGGCCTCGGCCGTGCTCGCAGAATCCGGACTCTCCCGAATACTCCGCAGGATGCCCACAAGTCCAGACTGCAGAGTTTCCAAATGCGCAAGAAGACGATCCATTGCTCCACGGACTTCTCCTTGTCTAGCCAGTAGAATGACCGCTGCATCCACAATGCCGCTGTCCTCTATATACGGGAGGAGTTCTTCGAGTCGCACATCGCTGGTTTGCAAGTCGTCCACGAAATCCGCAACGTGCGTCGGATTGTATTTGCAAAGTAATTGCACGTACCGCTCCACCATCCAAGGTTCGACAACATCAGAACATCTGCTTTCACCACCTCGCACCGTCTGCGGTTCAATAATAACCACCAGGTACTGATACTGGCGGTAGCTATCCTCCTCGAGGACCTGGAGAAACTTGTTATGCGTCTCTGGCGCAAGCTCCTGCATTGACTGCGCTGCCCTGGTCACATTGATCGCTGTCAAACTCCGTGCATTGTCTTGGACCACATCGACAACATCCCGTCTCTGCTTCTTGCCCAAACCCGAACCAGGCCGAAGACAGTCTTGTAGACAAGTAAAGACCGCTTCCTGCTCGATTGGATCCTCCAGATGCGTGAGTATCAATTGCGGGAACTGCTTTTCAGCACGATAGGTCGCTTTAAGAACACGGAAGAAACGTGCTTCTCGGAACAGAGGAATCAATCTCTGGATATCAGGCGGATGATAGAATGACAGCAAATACTCAACACTGAGTTCACAGTCCTGGCTCATCTCAGGATTCGGATAATGGCACAATCGCTCAAGAACGTTATGTAGCGTGGTTCCGGAAAGCAAGATATACTGCGGGTATTTAGGAAGATTGCGGGCAACAAACATGTCCAAGTAAATGGTATCAGAAGGCGTGAAAGACGACGATGCGGAACTCATAACCTGCAAGAGAATCGTAATCAGGTATTGCCGGTTGATCGAGGCGCCGATGCCCTGGGAAGGCGCTACTTCATCCGGATCCTGCTCGTTCAGGAAGCTGTCTTCAAACGCTTCGTTAAGCATGCTCATAAAGCTGGGGGTATCGAATTGTAGCATGGTATGGAGGTCCGAGTACGAAGGGCTCCCTGAGAATAGATAGTCGTACAGAGAACCCTTGGCACGTGCAGATTCGGCCCCATCCATGGGCTCTCCGGTTGGGTAGATGCGGCCGGTGAGGACGAAGGAGAGGTATGGGAACATTTTCACTGCGTTTGCGTATTGCTTAAGTACATCTGCAGACTCTCCGTTGGCGAATGACTCCACTGGCGGCGGTATCATTTCCAAGAGGTCCTGCAGTGGTCCAATGTAGTCGCCCAGACAGCAATTCCAGACGTAGATATAGGCGTCGTAGAGATTGTACTGCTTGCATAGCGACGTGACCTGATCAATATCCATCGTCGTGGTATCCAGCAGACAGATAATCTCCTCGAGACCACTCGCGCTGTGGTTCGTGAAGTAATGATTGATAAGCGCCTTCACAGCGGTAGGAGGTAACGAGCGCACTGTTCCTTCGACGATGTAGGACTCGAGAGCATCCAGGAAGATACCCTGCGACTCATGCTCTTCGTACCAGGTGAAAACCTCATCCCAGAGAAACTCTAATTCCTCCATACAAACACAGGCCGTAATAGAGGCCTTTACGAGTTCTGCGAGTTGTTTGCCCTCGAGTCGCTCATTATTCGCTTCCGCATTGCGGCCAAAAGCGTACTTGAGCGATGCGGATATCATCTCCAAGAGTCTCTCTCGAACAATGGGCTGTCTCAACGCGTCTTCTTCAGGAAGGCCAACGGTGAGCTTTTCTGCACTGCCTTTGAAGTAAGACGTCGCCATCTTGATGGCTCCAATAAAATCGCCAGCTTCCATGAGGGCCAGTAATCTGTCCGCCCAATTCGACAGAGCACCCATGAAAGTCTCGTTATAGCCCAGCAGGAATAACCGGCCCTTGTACGAGCGGAAGCTCATGTAAAATGCATCAGCCACCACACCATGCATGGAAGCATCTTCTTCGTGAAACTGCTCGACCAAGGAATGAAGCTGCCCAGAGAATAGATCCATATGGTAGATATGTCTGTTGAGGAGATCAATCGAGTCGGTAACGCGCATGGATCCATCTTCCAATATAAGCAGCTGCTGTGTGATTGTTAGCACAGCAAGAACCGAACGACTCAGCCATTGCACAGCAACGATGGCTTCGTCAGCGACCCATCGACTGCGTGCTTTAAATTCGAGCTGGGGTGGCCGGTCTCTAGATGGTGGCTCATCGGTTTCCATCTCCGAGACTTCGAGTATGGTTAACACGTTCGACCAACAATAGACGAGTTTCGTGTTCGAGATCTGCGCGTCTTTTCCCTTCAGTCGGATTGCCGGGAACCAAGCCAGCGCTCCCGTCATTGCACCATGAGCCGTGACCTCCTTTGGCCGCGGCGATTTATACTGCGTTTGCGCCACGGGTGTTGTCGACACAATCACCAGGAGATACGGAGTAAGCATGGCAACCAGGCCAAGCGTGTCGGTGGGTTGCTCAACGTTGCCCAGTGGCAGGGGCGAGAAGGCGAGGATGGCGCTTGGTTTTCGCGGCCGACCAGCTTCTCCAATTGTCAGAGGATATCGGCCCAGAATGCGAGTGATCTTCACGGTTCGTCCGACAGCACCCATTCCCCGCGTAGCCAGGTGCGAAAAGGCCATTCCCCGCTTATCAGCTGATACCAGCGCCGTGCGCCTGGTACCCAGGAAACCAATGTGCACGACCGACGAGCCGGATATATGTCCATCTGAGGTTCGCGAATCGATTTGCTCTGAAGGGATCGGAGGGATCTGAAGAAATGGGCGCGCGGATCGGGAAATCTCCCAAGTGAATATGTCACCAGACGCATGACCAGCCGCGACGGTCGAATGATCTGCCGAGAGGGCCAACGCCGTGATCGCACCGCATTCGAGGGCCCTTGTACTAGGTCCAATAATAGCCTTCAAACTCTGTTGGTAGTCAAACACCAAAACCACTCCTTTTGACGTCCCGATCACGATGGATGTGGTAACTGTCATGCAAGTAGGATGACCAAAGTTTCGCTTGCCAACCTCCGAAAACGCCTGCCCGGATATTTTCCGCAATCGAGTCCATCGTACCACATCCCAGGGGCCCTGCGGGTTTTCGTCGCCGGAATCTACCGTGCCCGGAGAAAGCTGGCTGACCAACGAGGAGTGCCGCGAATGAATATATCCCAAGTACGGCGAGGACGTTCGCGAACCAAACGGTGACGAGGGGGAGGAGAGCCGCGATTGGAAGCGTAGATCGAAGGGGCGATGGGAGGGGCTAGGACTGGGCCGGAGTGCGAGCAGGTTGCTACTGGGCGAGGAACGGAAAGAGCCCTGCGGTTATCAGCGCGGAACAAGCAAAACAGAAATACGAGATGCAATTACCTGTAGAGACGGCGTATCATCCGGTGTTGAAGCAGTCTCATCCATACTCCCACGCAACAACTCCGGCCGGGGTGACGATGACAGGTCCACCGGCAGAGCATCATCCTCTACTCCAGCCGACTGCCCATGACCATTAACCTCCGGTCCCGGTGACAGACCCTCCTCGGCATGTACGATTGAATCATTGTCGCCATTCACAGGCGACGAATCGTTCCCATTTCTATTCTGTCCGGGAGTAGCATCGTACTGTTCTTGATCCTGCTCATCTTGGCCCAGGTCGAGCTCGTCCTCTCGTGCCCAGTCATGGCTGTCCTCGACCATGGAGCTCATCGGCGACAAGTTCGAATGACCATCGCCTTGACCCAATCTCTATTCCGGGAGATGTTTATTATAAGGTGACGATTGAAAGCGTCTGGAGGGAGGGAAGCGGATGAGCGACGAGGTGGACAGGGCGGCGGGCAGTGATGTGGAGATGGAGATGGAGTCGGAGGATTAGATGGAGCCGCACCAACAGGGAATACTAGTATTAACGTCCGACGTAGGGGTAGAATGGCATAGACCGTGGCTGATAGACTGGTCTTGGCCAGAGAGTGTGGATTGTTCAAGTAAAGGTCAGAGCTGTCAGGAAAGCGGCATGCGGCTGTGCGGCGGTTAGTCGCAGTTAGAGCAGTAAACAACCGAGCTGTACAAATATGTTGGCGCTGGATGTTTTTTCTCCGTTCTACTGCAGCTAATTTATTTCTACTCTGTAATCAATTCTATATTGGTCACTATGGAGTTTCTCGAGTTGCATCGCATGGTTAGCGACATGCCAATATCACATGATCGACACCTGGGGCATAAACATGTATAGACGCAACCCTGAGTAGAATTTCAATCTCAACATAGCTCATGATTAGACACTCTTTAACATATGTCTTAAATCCATGCTATTTTATGGCTTATATATGTGGCATGTGTGAAATATCTCAGACTGGCGGATCATCTGATAACAATGTATCAACATTTGAACACGTGCCAACCACACCTTAGTATATCAGTCTCAGGGCATCCGGATCAGTGCAACCAGACCAAGGTAAAACTGATGTGTGACCATCACATGCGGCATCATTTTTCCGTGATAGTAAACACTCAGGTGATTGCATAGTGTGACTAAACAATCTCCTTCGATGTACGAAGTATATATGTCTTCGCATCCCGGAAAACAGAGCACACCACAAACCAGATCTACATATCTCAAACTAGACAACAATGAAGTGCTTTATCTACCCAATCCTCTTCCCCCTCCTCATCCTAACAAACGCCCTCGACCCACCCCTCCTCACTCTCCCCTACAGCAACCTAACCCTCCTCGGCGCCCACGACTCTCCCTTCATCGGCCCGCACTTAACCCAGAACCAAAACCTCAACGTAACTGCCCAACTCGACCTAGGCATCCGCTTCTTGCAGGGGCAGACGCACCGCGCGCCTGACGATGAGAACAGATTACAACTGTGCCATACGAGCTGTGTGTTGGAGGATGGGGGGTCGTTGGTGGATTTTTTGAGGATTGTGGGGAGTTGGTTGGAGGAGAATCCAGGGGAGGTTGTGACGTTGCTGTTGACGAATGGGGATCGGGTTGGGGTTGAGATGTTTGGGGGTGTTTTTGGGCAGGCCGGGTTGGATGGGCTAGTTTTTGTTCCTGGTGGTAGTGGGGGTGGAGTGTTGCCGATGAATGAGTGGCCCTCTGTGCAGGAGATGGTTGATATGGGTAAGAGATTGGTTGTTTTTCTAGGTATGCCCTCCCCTCCCGCACTACATATCACATATGGTACCTGCTAACAGGTACGTAGATTACGGCGCGAACCCCTCCAGCATCCCCTACATCCTCGACGAATTCGCCTACTTCTTCGAAACGCCCTTTGGCGAAACCAACCCCTCCTTCCCAAACTGCTCCATCGACCGACCCCCCGGGGCCACCGCAGACAACCGCATGTACATCGTCAACCACTTCCTCAACGTGGATATCCTAGGCATCAAGGTACCAGATCGGATCCGTGCGGCGAAAACGAATGCAGTGCGTGGAAATGGGAGTATTGGGGCGCAGGCGGAGTTGTGCGAAGGTTTGCATGGGAGGGGGCCGAATGTAGTGTTGGTGGATTTTGTGGATCAAGGGGAGGTTGTTGAGGCGCAGAGGGTGTTGAATAGGTTATGATTTTTTTTTTTTTTTCTCGGATCATGTGGATGGTAGGGTATATGATATCGTATCGTTTATTGACAAGTGGCATACGCTCTCACAAGCCTGGACTATTAACTGTCCGAAGGATTGTTTCCCAGGAACAACCTATAGCGAGCACCTCAGGAATCTGCAAGCCTGGGGAAGTGGTGATCACCAGTTGTAATATTCCGTCAGGCTCGAAAGACGAGGCTGAGGCTCTAATATGCGTCTATAATATGTAGTCATATATATACCAGACCAATCACAGGCAAAGGAGCTCGAAACAAACGTGAAGTCCGAGGTGCCGGCCTACTCCTCCAAGTCAACCTGCATCTCACGTTCTAATAAACAATCAGTTCTCGATCCATATGACAGAAGGAAAAATATGCATACCCCAAATCTTATTCGCCGATGCAACAATAATCTCCGCTTTAGCAAGCAACTTGGCAGCATACCGCTCTGCCTCTGTCGGATGCAGTTGACTTTGATGCGATTTCCGTGGATTTACCTAATATCATCAGCACTGTATCCCGTATTTATCGGGCATCCCGAACATACCATCGTTAAGACCGGAACAAGGTCTTTAGGATCCGCCTCCGCCAATTCCCTCAACCCCTTAAACCCATTCTCCCGTAGTAACCTTGCCGTCCACCCTTTAACATAAGTAACCTGCGCCATCTCCAAAAGATCTGTCTTTGCCCCAGCTTCCAGTCGGTCACGCATATGGTCCAACACGGCTGCTAGCATGCCCCAGTCCATGCGTTGGCAGAACTTGACTATCCCCGCTGCGAAGCCGTGGCACTGCTGGGCTAGAGTTTGAACTGTGCCGCGGGGGATACGGTAGCGCGTGGCAATTGTGGAGAGGGGAACTTCGTTGGAAAGATCACGGAGTTGGAAGGCTGTGTAGGCGCGACGATAGATGCGAGCGAAGTTGATTTGTTCAGGGTTGGTTTCTTTTAAGGTGGAGCCGGATTGGACCCTGCAGGTGTGTCAGAAACATATTCTCGCAACGTGAGAATATGAGGGGGCACGTACATGGTGTTGACAAAACCCGGCGAAACACCGACAAATTGCAGCGCGCGCAAGCCACTTTCGTCAAGAAAATCCAATTGATCCCGGAATATCTGCCAATCAATTCTTGTACTCGCCGCTATCTGCAGAGGAGTAAACATGTAGAAGATGTGCATATCACCGTCCATGACGAAAGCCTGCAGTGCTCGCTTTAGCTCTTTATATATGAAGAGGCCATCTTCGGGGGCGAATGCGGATGCAACAATCGCTTGTCCAAGTTGCGTTGCCTCGTAAGATTCGTCCTCTGTGAGACGCAAAAGTTCTTCGTCGACTAATTCTCGTAGTGCGGAATCCATAATGTTGTATGCGATTTTCTTGTCCAATGTCCGGCAGAGGAGTGTGCATTTCACGTATTCCTTGATTACTTCGCAACCAGAAGCCAGCCCAATTGCTACTGCTTCCAAAAGTGCCCTGAATGTGTAAGCAAAGGCCAGAAAGAACATGTTGAAGAAGGGCTACCTCTTGAGTCCCCGCTTCTCCGGAGCCAAACAGCTTGCGATGGCGGGCATATCGGCCTCTAACAAGTCACACGCGGCCTCTAAATCCGCTTTTCCACATATAAGGTACGTCTCCCCAGCTTCGTCCTTTCCTTTGCGACCAGCGCGTCCACACATTTGTCGTCTATATGGTTAACCAAATGACATTCACATGAAGGATTGTGTACCTACAGCATCGCAGGACCGACTAGTTCCTGACCCATTCGCGCACCGTTTATAATGACTCTTCGTGCCGGGAGATTGACGCCAGCCGCGAGGCTGCACGTGGCAACAAGTACCTTCAAGGCACCCTGATCGTAAGCTTGAGCGACGAATTCTCGTTCTTCAGTTGTCATTCCCGCATCTAGGATTGTTAGCTGATGTTCACAAGTATCCTGGCCAGATGCACACACGATGGAAGCCAACCCCCTTGAGAAGCGTGGTTTCAAGAACGGGATCGAGACCACTTGGAAGACTGCGCAATTCAGCTAACAAATCCAACCGTTTACTCAACTCGGCTGGATCCACGTCAGTATTTCCTGGCATAGCCTCGCTTATAATAGCTGCATGAAGCTGACAAGCTTGACGACTGCCACAGAACACTAGCGCGCCGTATCCAGCTATGGCTGTGTGGACAGCCAAAGCGACCATCGAGTTCGTCATGGGATTGGAAAGTTCTCGGAATGTGGAGCGCTCGACCATTCGATGTGGAGGTATAGTGTTTGTCAGGGTCCCTGTTGGTGCGAATCTTAGTTTGGAGATGGTTTGGAAGAGTTGTCTTGATGTTGCCGCTGGGTAGATAGCATTTTCGTAGATCAGATATTCGTCAATCGGAACCGGCCGATAAGTCGAAATGAAGAATTTGGCATTCATCCATTCTGCCAGCAGTTCGGTGTTCTACTCTGTCAGCCTCGAGCGAATTCAGTATGGAGCTCAGTCATACCGAAAGAGTGGCACTCATCCCAATGATTTGGATATCCTGCTGGAGCAATAGTATTTTGGTGACCATGAGTTCCAAAAGATAACCACGATGCTCATCGTCCAGCATATGCAGCTCGTCCAGAACAATGACGCCTAAATCGCCAATACTGCATTCTTCGATGGCACTATTAATCAACGAGTTGGCCTAACACTATTAGAATTGAACAAGACAGCGAGCCTATAGCAAACCTTTTCAATTGTGCAAACAGCAATATCCGTATCCGCCCAAGCCGTAGTCCTACTCCCACCAAAATACCCAGTAACACAAATAGACCTTTGTTCCTTCTGCCAGCGCTTATACGCAGGCTTCGTATCTGCATCTTGATCATCAGGAACATATTTATCCACGTCCTGCACAATGCGTCGCAGCCACTTGAGCTTCTCCTGGACTAAAGCAACATAAGGCAACACCAAGATAGCTTTCTTAGACGGATTTTCAATGATGCGTTTCAGCATTAAAACATCAGCAACCAATGACTTCCCACCGCCTGTGGGTGCTGTATAGACTAGGTGGCGTTCACCCGTCAGCAGCCCGCTGGCTAATAGGCAGGATGCCTGCCATCCGTAGATACTGCTGACCCCCAAGGCCGCAAAATTCGCGATCAACGATGGGGGCAGACCATATCGGGGGTCTTGGAGTGATAGAAGTGGATTCTGGCTTGATGAAGGGGGGGCCTGTTCCTCTATGCTGCGATGATGGTCCTCCGCTGCAGCAGTTACAGGGCGAATCTCACTGGCGACTAAACGACCCCGTGATTGGCCAAATGAAGGACGAACAAAGCCCACGGAACGAAAAATCGAGGAAGCCTGATGATAGTCGGGATTTGGCTGATGGATGGTATTCAGGCCATGGCTGACGCCCGAGGTAGATGTCTTGGACGGCGAGTCACCTGACGGGGACTCTGGAGGGCGCTTGTGACCCACCAGCGAAGGCACGCTGTAAGCTTGTCTGCGCACGATATCGATGGAGGTATTGAAGCCATGGGATTGAAATGGCTGTTGCCCCGACATGGCAGAGGGATGTTTGGTGCCTCCAGTCTTATGGATGAGAGATCATCTCCGCTGCACTATGTGACTGGGACGACTTATTCCTTTGAAGTGATTAACCACTAATCGCCTTATTTTATCTCAGTCCAAGTCATGGTTCAAGACCCCTCCATCGACGCGAACGCGGTGTACACGGAGGCCTCAGGTATAGATTACATAATCTGATACCTTTCAGCGAAGGTTCCTGGATCGTCAAAGAGCGGGCCAATCAAAAGCGTTGATCGGCAGGCGCGCTCCATCGGAATGGAAACGATCCAGCCGGTCGGACATGACACTTATTGGTATACAGAACAGTGAGCATTCGTAGAATATACTTTATATAGGTGAAAAGCGGAATAATTTTGCTCATCAAGCTACCTAGATAGTCGGAGAATGACATTGCCAGATATCTGCACAACACCCGCACGCCTCTCCATCGGGAGGTGGATCACATCCCTTGGCCCCTCACATCGTTATTGGAATGGTCTTGTATGTAGTGCTTTTGAAGACTGTATTATTTTCAAACAATTGCTGTTTGGATAAATGCCAACACAGACAGTCAATTGTAGTTATTGAAATGTACCCATACAATCATCCAATACACTCCCAATACAGGGGCGTACTGACTAGGCATCATGACTTACTCTAAACGGACTGCACACTATGATTGGCCGGGTCAATGGCGATAGGATCCAGATCCATGCCAGATTGGGTATAGAAGGACGGAGGGATTCTCGTAGCACGATTGGTAATGCCATTGTTGGGATAGTTTGGGGATTTAAATAGAAGAGAATATTAGGGAGAGTTGGAGAATGAGAATCTCCTAAAAGCAACCTAAAGTACACACGGAGTACTCCTGGGGGTTCCAGCAGTCGTACATACAGGTGCAGTGCAGCCGGACAAATCAAGAATTTTCTACTGGTGGATCGAGTCAGTGGCTCGTAATTGTTCTGCATCGTACGGATGCTAACAGAATAAAACATGGGTGTACAGAGAGTACAGAGTGCAAGAACATATATGGGTACGTAGAATTCCCGTGGTGAATATGTATGCCGCGGGTCGCTCGGTCCACCGTCCGGATTCCCTCGCGCTCGTTTGGAGGATGTGTCTTTTCCGCAGTGTAGATCACAACGTTGGTATTCAGAGTATCAGTCTTCCTACAGAGTACATTTCCACGGAGAGTACCCTTAAGTGTGCAGGGAATAGGAACAGTAGAATAAGAATACTTGTAATACTTGGTAGAATAACTTCTCCGTACTGGTACACGTACAATCCGGAGGTTGTCATATTAACCCATCGGGACTAACTTAGGGGCACACGACGGGTCGGAACATCCTGGAATAGGATATCTTGATGAATGCCTTCTTGGGTCTCTTTCATTTCGCCTTCGCTCACTTCCACTTTTTCTTCCTTTCATTCTTTTCTTCCCTCCTTCTTTTCTTCCGATTACAGTAACT